AAAATTAACCAGAGGTAAATACCATATTCCTTACTAGGAGTATTTATCTTCTAAATGCTTTCGGCAAAAGAGATCTACTCACTCCCACGGCAAAGAACACTACCGACATTATTGTCACTCAAGTGAAGAGAAAGGTGGTTTTGCTAAATCTTGTCCAGCCTGGAGTGAGTTGAGAAGATCCTGTGAAATTCCAAGGACAGGTATTCAAGTTTGCCCTTCCACAGTGGGAGAATTCCCCTCCTCTAATTTCACCTGGTCCTCCCAGAAAGTTTATTAAAGATGTAGATTTTATATCAGCAGGGAGTATCAAGTAACTTCTTGGAGAGAGTAGCCCTATTTTCAGGACCTATTAAGATTCTTTGTGGAAATTTAAATACCTCTGCCAGGCAAACAAAATCATATCAGGAACCATAGAATTTCATTGCTAGAAAGAGAAATTAGATTAACCAACCCTCACTCCTTTTTCCTAGAAACCTCAATAAAATAGAAGTACATTTCAACAGTCTCTTACTTCCGGTCTGAAGGGGCCTCACAAGACATCTAAATGAACTTATATTAAAGAAAGCTGTCCTTGAGGGAAGCCCTTCAATCTACCCAAATTGTATATATTTATATATAGATAGATAGATAGATAGATAGATAGATAGATAGATAGATGAATAGATAAGTATATATTACATATTAGAAGGCAGTGGCTATATTACATATTAGAAGGCAGTGGCTATTTGAAATCAAAACAGCCAGAAAAATCCAGTGGCAGAAACCATGACAAGTTCAACACCGATAAGCTTCAGCCCTTTAAAACATCCTTGTCCTTTATTAATATTTAGTAGAAATGTGTAATTGCAGATGTGTGCTAGGTTGGGGCTTTATGTCGGGAGGCGGGCAAAGAAGACAGGTTTATTACAGCCATGAAATATTAAACAAGCACCAAGAACAGTAGTAGTATGTCCCGGACTAGCCAGGGAGCAGGCAGGCCCTAAAGTCAGCTGCACAAAGGGGGCTCCTGTTTATGTTACCCCTGATTAACACCTGCGAAGTTTTGGGTTACATCTTCCGGAGGCTGCAAAAGTCACATGAAGGCATGCAACCCTTTCTGGATGATTTCACAGGGAAATGGAAAGGCAAGGCTCCTTGCCTTCCCCCAAACAAGTTTGAGTGAGCCTTAAAATTCTCTCCACTGTGTGGGGAGTAGGGGAAACAACTCAGAAAAACAGCACTAGGATACCCCCTCCTCCCCTAAGCCTGCCCCCATGTCTAAGGAAATTCAGTGTTCAAATCCTGCCTGCCTTGGATTTCTCAGCATCGCTAACTATGTTCCCACTGGAACACTGAGGGAAGCATGAAATTCCAAAAATTTCTCCCGCATCACTGTAAAAATGTCATACTTCCAAAAAGGGCAGGCTTGCATGCAAAGCGAATACAGAGACTTCTCCCATTTCAGGGTATGTGAAAGAGCATTTCTAGGCTGCTCTGAATTTTAAGATAGAAAGCAACCAACAGAATGGAAGTTGGGCAAGAATAAACTTATAACAGAATAAGGTTAGTTCGAGTTTTGAAAATCATAAGGGAGCAAAACATACCTCTTCAGACTTAATATCCTTCATCTACAACCTATCATTATTTCTCCTTCTCTATCTATTTTGAAATTCCTCCATAGCCACACACCTATTACAAAGATAGGTGAACGGTTTTTCAAACTAATTTCAAATTCGTGTAATCCTCATTGATTTAATAGATGTCCGACTAGGCCCAAACTCAGGCTGGATTTTTTTTTTCCTTTGCACGACCTCACCCTTCCCCCAACCCAACTTTGTGCAAACAGAACCTCATGATGAGATGTGGAGTTTTCATTATATAAAAGTTGTTTGGTGGGTTGATTAAGAAGTCAGGGGAAGCATAATTTGCAGAGGTTCATTTTCCTGGTAAAAAAAATTATAATCACATGTCATTCTGGCCTAGACTTTTCTAGAACTGCAACTTGCTAGTCGAGTTCCCTCCCCTCCAAAAGACATCTAAACCCCATAAGACAATCTGGGCACGTCCCAGTGGCTACACGGCTTGTGCAGTTCTGAAGACTTATTCGTTCTCTCCAACCCGAGCACGGATCATTTTGTTAAATACCGACTAGTATTTTGTCATCGGAGCGAAGAATTTCAGAAACGGTGTTAATATTTAATCACATTAGTACTGGTGTGTTTTACAGCATGACAAAATAAAATATCATTACAAAAATGGGCTTTGCCTGAAAGGGGGGGTGGGGATAGGTGAAAGAAAGTGCTCGCTGGGGCTGGAACCTAGAGAAGGTATTATTCAAAACCGCAGAACACCACTGCTTCGTGGCTGATGGGACCATATAGGCATGAGTTTAGGGAAAAGCTAAACGTTTTACTTTTTTTCTTTTCTTTTTTTACTCTATTTCGAAGTGGCACACTTGACTCTGATTTTCAGCCAGCGGACTCAGGGGCCCGTGGAAGGCTCTGTGTACCTATTTATACAACATGTGCAGATGGAACTGTAGGGTGTTATCATAATGAAAAGTTTAATCATCCTTATTTACTACCAGTAAGGGAGCAGCAATGGGATGCAGATACCTTATAAAGCCTTAACTAGCAGCCCCAAGGCTGCAAAAGCTGTGAGTGACCTCAATTCAGGGCTTTATCTAGGAAACTGTCCTTCCCACATCACAGAGTGGAAAACAAAAGAGGTCAAGTGGGTGTCCCTGCTGATGCCTCTAAGGCAGCCAGCCCCACAGCCTGTCCCTGAAGGGAGTCCCTGACCTCCAGTGTGCAGGGGAGGGCTGCAGTGATCCCACAGGGAAAAATCAACCCTAAAGCGCCTAACATCTGTTTCCAAAAAGATATTTTCCCTCCTCTGATTACTATAATGAAACAAACAAAACAAAACATTTCTTTAATGACATTTCTTCATTCACAGCCTGCATCTTTTCATTTATTTTTTTCTGTAAAGGAAGAGAGGTGGATGGACTGGGGAGTGAGTGGTGCGATAACCTCAAAAGCAAAACAAAACAAAACAAAAAAACCTCATTAAAACCACCCAATGCCTCTTCACCTAAGGTCCTTCAAAAGACTCTGCCTGCAAAGTGCTACTGGTTTCTTTATTAATTCTCTAAATCGGGTTTTCTTTTTTAACTTTTCTCACCCCATTTTGGCCAATATGGTCTTAATTACTGGGGGGATGGGAGAAGGGGGAGGAGAAGGGACAGCCAGGCCGCGCCAGGTAGAAGTGACAGGGGCTGGGATTTGTGCTAACCAGCTATCGATTGGTGGCGATCGAGATGTTGTGTACAAGAAAATAAAAGAGAAGGGGGGCCTGAGCAAGCAGGATGCTGTGTCCAACTCCATTTTTAAAAGGAGTGGGAGAAGACGCGGAGGGTCCCAAACTAACCAATTTATGGCCTTGCCTGGGAGAAGCCCGGAGAATGCTGATGCTGGCCCCAGCGTCTGCTGTGCATGCTAAACACCCAGCTTCAAATGAGACAGCGGCGTCCCGGGCTGGGCAGTAGGCGAACAAAGAGAAAAGCAGCGAGGAGGAGGCCGCATTCATGAATTAGAAAACCTAAGCGGGAAAGCTACCCCGGACAGGCGCCCTGAAAGCCCCGAGTTCTAAGCTACCCAACTCCCGGTGGCACTTCCCCTCCCCCCTCCTGCCCCATCCCACTCTCCTAAAACCCTACCCTCACCTTAAACCCAGGGTCAAGGGGTGGCAGGATGTGAGGAGGACTAGGAAAACAAGGCAGAGGAAAAGAATTCTATGGGAGGGTGAGAATCAAGGGATGTGTTTTTTAAAGACAGAGTTAAATCGTTAGCCACTGGCTTCATGGTAATATTCAGCCTGGTAAAACCAAGAGGATTCAACTAAGGTTTAAAAGAAAAAGGTAGGAATGGGAGGAGGGGGGAATGATGTTACCTAATTTTAAGAAGCCATTATCTACCTATGGGAGGGGGGGCGGGGAAGCCCCGTTAGAATAAAATGGGTTGCAGCCCAGTCTTCTTTAGGTTAAAAAACTTATTACTTTAACTGCAATGGCAGTTCATTGACTAACTCCTACCCCACCCACCTTAAAAGCCTCCAGGCCTGGTGGGGAGGGAGTGCTTAGAATGCAAAGGAGAGCTGAGACTGGACGTCTGTCACCAAAGCCAGGGAGATATTGACAAACACAGGTCCTTTGTGCCTTAAGAATATATATCTATATCCCCATACACAAATGATACCCTACCTGGTTGAGTGGTCTGGCCTCTGCCAAGCAGAGCCCACTTCAACCTGGGCTCCCCATCAAATGTCAAGGAGTTGCACCCCTAAAAAGGCTGCCTGCCCTCTTCAAACCCTAGAGGTCCCCAGTTTTTCAATGAAACTCTGATAGTTAAGAAGAGACAAAACAGCTACTCATTAGGAACAAATGTCACATTAGGCATTGCCTCTGAGCGATGCTGCTGACACCAGAGCTGGGAACTTTTTTTTTTTTTTCGAAGATGCTGGCACACTGAAGGGAGCTGGAGCTGAAGGTTGGCTGATTAGGTGGGGAGGCATTAACACAACTTCCCAGGTGTCCTGCCAGTTAGGGTGGCATGTAACTCCTAAAAAGTGGAACCAGCCTGAATGTTGCCGGCGATGAGAGGTCTTAGTGTGAAAGGAAAGTCATCTTGTCCTCTGAGCATCCAGCAACTCAGCTAAAACTTGAGGGGAGGAGACTCTACAATAGTCGCCAAAGGGCTGCCATCTAAGTTCTTAACCACCCTGTGGAGCTAGAATCTACCTGGCAACACCTAAGGAGGGAGAGGGGGTCGGTTCATAGAGCCCTTGGTGTAACCAAAGGGAGAGTATCCAGCTCTGAGCTGGGCATTGAGAAGGCCCTGTGCTCTCCTAACCCTAAAGGACCCTCCCCTTTCGTGGGACCTTCAAGGCAGGGGAGCTAAGGCCTGAAATGGGGGTGGGGCGGGGCTCTGAGAGGCGAGAAGGGAACCGAACAGCGCATATACCTTCTTTGCTGTTGGGGTTCTGGGGTTTGGCCTTCTCCCAGGGCGCCAGCGTCTTGTCGTCGTCTGCGCCGTCCACCAAGGTCTTGTCAGCCGGCATGTACCAGGTGGCGCTGTGCTCTGCCATCAGCGAGTCCAGGTCGATGGTGCTCATGGCGCTTTTGACAGCCTCTGAGCAGCAGCTGCCCAGCTCGCCGTCTCCATTCTGCGCACCTGAGGCCCCCACGGCACACTCACCCTTCTTGCCCCCCTTGAGCCCCAGGGGCTGGTCCTCAGAGATGCTGAACTGCTGCCTCTGCAGCTGGATCTGTGCCTGGAGGATCTCCAGGGGGTGGATCTCATCGGGTGGCGGTGCACCGCTGCTGCTCGTCGGGGTCCGGACCTGCTCCAGGCCAGGCGTGCCAGGATGGCCAGTGCCCCCGCCGCCGCCGTAGCTGTCAGGGGTCGAGGTAGAGGTAGACATGATGCCCAGGCCCAGCGGGGGCGGGGGTGCCTTCGGTCCGTGTTCTCCTGCGCCCACCCCCCTGGGAGGGAGTTTGGGCGAGCCTGTTACCAGGGGGCTCCTACTCGCTTTGGCCAGAGCCGGGGGGTTGTCGGAGCTGGATGACACCTCGTCCTCATTCGCGTAGCTCGTGCTCACCTCGTCTGAGGCGAACTCGCCCACGTGCGGGGAACTACTGTCCGATTTGGCCCCACCGTCCAGGGAAGCCATGAGGTCCGGCTGGTCCCCCAGGAGCAATTCGGCCCCCTTCCCCCACGACGGCGACGTGAGCGCTTTCTCGTGAGGCGTCTGAGCCCCGCGCGCCTCGCTGGTGGAGCTTCCCCCGACGGCTGCGCCCGGCGCCGGCTGCTGCCCTGGGCTCACCCCGGGTGCTCCCCCGCTGTCCGGCGCTGCAGAGTACTTGTCGAAGAAGGTCCCGGGGCTCACGTGACCACTGTCCCTTTTTCTTCGGCCCCGTCCCCGGCCGCCGCCCCCGGGGACCGGCTTGCCGTCGTTCCCCGACGTTGACTCCAGGGTATAGTTGGGGGAGAGGCTGGTGCTGTCCCCCTGGGCGGGCGGGTTGGGCGGCCCAGAGGCTTTGGAGCCGCTGCTACTGGTCCCCGACGGAACTCCGGGCCCTGGGGCCCCAGGAGCAGTCCCTCCGGGGAAGTAATCCGAGCCCGGGTTGCCGGCCACGGTCGCGCCGTCGGTCTCGTTCTGGCTCAGTTTCCTTTTGCCCTCGGGCGGGTTCTTCTTGTTGAAGGTCACGTTGAGGTTGGGGGCACCGAGACTGGCGATCATGTTCTGGCAGGCGGTGGAGAGCGCAGCCAGGCAGCTCTGGCCGAACAGGTTGTCCTTGGAGCTTGGTTTGTTGAAGGAACCCAGCGAAAGCGCGCCCAGCTTACTGGCCGAAGTGCGCTGGCTGGGCTGGAAATCAGGTTGTGGCGGGTATGCGCCTCCGCCACCGCTGCCCGTGCTGCTGCCGCCCCCGCCCGCACTTGGGGGCGAGTTCACGCCCGGGCCGCTGTGCGGCGTGGCCTGTCGGTTCGCGGCGCCGAACGGGAAGCCAGGCTGACCCCCGAGCGCGGGCGCCGTGAAATCCGGCGGCGGGGGCCGGCGCTCGGAGGGAGCGCTCGGCAGTCCCACCCCAGCCCCGGGCGACTGCAGTTGGCCCAGACCGGCCAAGCTACCCCCGAACTGCAGGCCGGGGGAGGGCAGCGCGGGCACGTGGCCCTCTCCGGGCATCCTCAGCGGCTCCTGCAGAGGGCCCCGGAACAGCACCCCCGAGCCACCGGGCGGAGGGGGCGGCGCCAGCCCGGGGTCGTGCGGGCCACAGTCTGCGGGCAGGCCCGAGCCGCCCATCCTACGGGGCAGTAGGTCACCCGGCGGCGGGTGCGGACCTGGGAACCACGCGCTCTCCTGCGCCAAGTGCGGCGCCTGCTGCTCGAAGGTGCCCAGGCGCCCCGCTCCCGCGCCACTGCCTTCGCGCTCAAAGTTCGGCTGGGCCAAGCCTCCCACCGGGCCGCCGTGCACCAGGCCGCCCTGGCCCACGTCCCCGGGGTGGCCTAGCTGGGCCAGGTTGGGTTGGCGCAGCCGCTGCTGCTGATTCCGCGACGCCATCTGCTTAATCATGAGGGCCGCGTTCTGGCGCTGCTGCTGCTGTTGCTGCTGCTGCTGCTGCTGCAGGGACTGGTGGTCCGGGGCCGGATGCTGCAAGGGTGGCCCCGAGGGGAAACTGTCCGGCACCGGCGGCGTGAATTCGCCGGGTAGGCCCGAATAGGCAGAGGGCGAGAGGTGGTTGTCCAGAGCGCCGTTGTGCATGCTGCCGTTCCACGAAGCGCAGCGGTCCACTCCCGCGCTGCCGGGGAAGTCAAAGCGCGGCCTCTTGGCCACATTCATGTAGGGGGGTGCGTCGAAATGCTGCAGCCGCTGGTTGGGCGCCTGCTGCGGAGTGGGGTGCTGCATGTTGAACACGGGCTCGGAATAAGGGTGCATGCTCCGGTTCTCCAGCCGGTGGATGGGGTATTCGAACTGAGCGTGTTGGCTGGGCAGCATGGGGCCCCCGTCCTGCAGGCCGCCGCTGGGCGTGCCCGCCTCGCCCTGCTGGGGCCGCGGGAGCGCAGGCGGGCACGAATTTTGTCGGACCAGAAGCCCGGGCGGCGGTGGCTGCTGCTGGGGCTGCGGCTGCTGGGGCTGCGGCGGCGGCTGCGGGGGCTGCTGCTGAGGGGGCGGTGGGGCCTGCTGGGGTGGCTGCATTAACGGGTGCCGGGAGCCTACCCCAGGCTCCAAGCCCACGGGCATCTTGCGGGCCCCTCCGAACCTTTCGAAGAACACACCGTGCGGCTGCTGCTGTTGCTGCTGCTGCTGCTGCTGTTGCTGTTGCTGCTGCTGTTGCTGCTGCTGCTGCTGCTGGGCGTGCATTTTAGACAAGCCCACCATGCCCGCAGCTCTGGGCATGGCTGAGGCACCCGGAAAAGAGCCGCCGGGAACCTGGCGACCTGCCGCATAATGAGGCAGCTGCCCCTCAGAATCGGAGGGCGAAAACATGTCGAAATGTCCCGAGGGCGCCTCACCCGGGTAATTGTATTCCAGCGAGTCGACGGCTCCTTGGTTCGCCACCCTCCGGGGCTCCAGACTGTGGGAATCAGAGCCGCTGGAGGCGGGCAGGCCGTGGAAGGAGGCGGCTCGGTTAGGGCTCTGGTCCAGCGGCAAGCATGGGGCAGGCACGGCGTGGCTAGAAGCGCCCGAACTGTGGAAGTCCGGGAGGTTCCCGGGTCGCTGCGGGCCGAAGCTCTCCGGCCCCTGGCTCTCCGCCATGTGATCATAACCCTCGGCGAAGGGCGGCTGACTGCCCAGGCCGCCGCCAGCGCCGCCGTACCCGAGCAGGCGACCCCCATGCAGGCACGAGGCCCCTGGGTCTGGGCCCCCGAAGTTGCCCCCGAAGTGGGGGTGATGCTGGTGGGGGTGGTGGCCTCCCGGGTGGCCGTGGTGCGGCTGCTGGCCTCCAAAGAATCCGTGCACCGGCTGCGCCTGCAGCCCCCCCGCGTGCAACTCCGAGTGGCCGCGCGCGTGGAAGCCGTAAGGCTCCATGTTCATGCCTAAGATCGGGGGCTCGCCCAGCGCGCTCATGGCAGGGTCCACGGAGCCAGGGGGTCCCCCCGCGTGGAAAGCAGGGGTCTTAAAGTGGGTGTTCATGCTTAGTCCGGCCTCGTTAAAGTTCCTCTCGCCTTGGCCAGCGTTCCTGCTGTTGATCTGGGGCTCGAATTGGTCCAGCCCAAACATACTTGGCGGGGGGCGAGAAGATCAATAGGGCATGACAGCCTGTTCTCCGCGGCGCGCCTCCGGCCAGCTACTCGTTCCGGCCCTGGGTCCCGCGCTCCGCGACGGTCAGCACCGCGAGGGCGCAGCGCGCACTGCCACCTCGCCTGGCCTTTGGAAGCTGGGGGCTATCAGCTCCTCTTCCCAAGCTCTGGCTCTGCCCCACGCGGGCCTCTCACATCTTGCGGCGCCGCGGGGCCTCCTGGAGCCGTGTTGGGGGGCCCATGCCCCGGGCGGTTGGCACAGCCGCGGATGGGTATGAAGGGAGGGGACGGAGCTGCAGGCGAGTGGAGACAAAAAGTTAAGTGGGGGGAAGGAGGCGGGAAGCAGGGAGGGAGAGCAGAGCAATCACCTTCTTAAGTCCGATCGGGTTGGGTGGGGAGCCCCAGGACGCCGCCCGAAGCTTCCCTGAGTCCGTGGTGTAGCTGCTAAGGGGCTGGGCAGGGAGACCCTTCAAAGCCGTGGCTGGCGCCGGGGCATGGACAGAGCGGTCCCTCCCCCCTCCCCCCTGAGTCCCCGCGCTCCGCAGCCCGAATCTCTGCCAAACGCGATCCGCTCGCACAGTCCCCGCCGGCCCGGAGCAAGCGGCTATGGCTTCTTCAGCGGGTCGGAGGACTGGAGGCTCCTCTCGGCATCACCGGTGCTGGCTCTCGAGCCGAGGGCGCAGCGAGGCTGGGGAGGTGGCAGATGCCGGGGGTTGGAGCCGAGGGCTGGAGGAAGGCAAGGCTCCCCTGCTCCGTGGCCGGTGCGCTGCACCCCAGCGCGCCGCACCCCCACGAGCCGCTTCTCGGCCACGTCCGCCGCCTGCCGCTTCTGTCCTCCGCTGTTCAGCCTCTGAGTTCGCTGGGGTCTCGGCGCCCGAGTCCAGGCGCAGACAGGCAGCGAGACGAGCGGTTGGGTCGCTCCAAGGCTCGGGTTCCCTGCCTCCGCGCAGAGGTGCTTTGCGAGTCCCCCTTGGACCCGGGGAGGGGGGCGTACGCGGGTTGGGGGGCCACACTGGCGAGCAGGCTAAGGCGTTCCGGCTGAGCACTCGGAGCCCGGAATGGGGGGGCGGGGGCAGCTCTGGGGGGTCCGCGCACCCCTCTCCTGGCTGGCGGGGGGGCTCTGCGTGGGGCGTTCCGAGGGTCTCAGCTCCCCTCTCTGTGTCTGCTTCTCGCCCAGCGCCGGGAGAAGCAGCAACAAGTTTTGCATTTCAGCAATCAATTTCAGCCATTACATTTGCACCAATCAGCGCAGCCCGAGCTCCGGGTCCGGGGCGGGGCTCGCTCTTAAGGTGGTCCTGGGTGCTGGCTGCTGAGGCCCCCGCCACGAACCCGCACTTCGCCACGTCCGGGGTCCTCCGTGCGGGTCTCGCCTCCGAGTCCGGCGACAGTGCGCTGGGGGGGAGCGCTCTGGCCTCCCGACGCATAGGGCTGGAGAGGGCGCAAGAAGAGAATGGCGGGAGCCTGGCTTTGTTCACCCCCCTTCCCACTCAGTTACCAACTCCCCACCCCCAACTGAAGCGAGACCTGCGGGTTGGGCAGGGGGCGGGGAGGTGGGCGGTAAGCGGTGCGGGGCGCTCAGACAATGGGGTCGCCAGGCAAAGCTCCTGGACTTGCCACGGAAAGTCGCTAAGTGTCGACCGCGCGTCAGCCCTAGGGCGAGCCCTCGTCTTTCCACCGCTGTCTGCTTACGAGTGGAGCCCAAGTTAGCCGGTCTTCGGATTTTCCTGGAGGTGAAAGCAGGCGGGGAACCCCAAAGTTAGGGTTCTCCTCGAGAGACCGGGAGCTTGCTCGCGCCTCCTTCACTAGGGCGCGCACAATTGTTCCCTAACCGCACTGCCTGGGGTTCCCAGTTTCTCAGTCGCCGGCTTCCGCCCGGAGGAGCCATAACCACTCCGTCACTTTCCGGGGGCACATCGGCCGAACCGAGCGCCAGAGCGGCAGAGCAGCTCGGAGCCCAGGGAAGACCCGCGCGCAGAGGACGCACCGGGAGGCATCAGCACCCTACACCGTCCCGGCGCCCGGGCCAAGGCCCAGGCCCTCTCTGAGTGCGAGGTTGGCCTCCTTAAGAGATCAATTAAACTGAAGAGGCCAAGGAACGGAATTGGGTTGTGATACTAAAATCAATAGGAGTAATTTAATATCTGCCCCACTGTTTATGAAATATTTATTCCAATAATCTTAGTTAAAATGTTTAGATCTTCCTGATCCCCACTGAGGCTGCGATCTATCTTGCAATTAGAAGTTGGGAGTTAGAGGTGATTGGCGTGTTAGAGGAGGTGTTTATTCTGTGTGCCTGTTTATGTGTCCTTTCCTCCTAAAGTGTGTGTAGGGGAAGGTAGGGGGAGAGGGCCTTTCATTTTCCTTGCCATAAAATAGCGAGAGGCTATTTTGCTAGCTGACCAACATTCTTAGGAGAAAGGGAGGGGGGGGAACTTTCTTTGAAGTGCCCCTGATATCGCTATTAAATCTAAATAAAATTAAGCATGGTGTATAAAAATGCCTTTTCCCCCACAAAAGAAAGTGTTTATCGCCCAAGTCTGTCTAGCGTTTGCTAAATTACGCATGAAATCTGAAATGAAATAAACGTTATAATAAAACCAACCCTTGAGCCCTTTTTATTTAAAAACCTCAGATTAAGCACTCCACCAACGCGGGAGGGAGTTAAAAAGTTACCACGTAGGGCAGGCGGATTCATTGCTCCCCAGAGTTGCTGCTGGGAAGACAGATGCTGGCTTTTCCTAAATGCTGGGGGAAAGGGCTCAACTTAGGGTGAGAGGACACTGGCAACAGGGTCTCAAGGGACACCTAAAGAAAATGACCCCCCCACACACACACCCCAAAAAAGAATAAAAACAAACAATAAAACCCTGCAATTTTAAAACTGAGAGAGCTGAATGAGACAAGCTTAGATCCGAGGCTCTTCGTGGGACCTCCCTGTTGTGGATGTCGACAGATATTTTTTTTCTTTTTGAAATTAAAAATGAAAATTACCCCTACCAAAAATGGGGTCTATAAATAAGCATCGGGAAGAAGTATTTGTACAGGGCGGTGGAGTTTTAAAAGGATTTTTCTGCAGGATCAGGTTGTTGGTCTGTGATTAAATATTGATTTTGTGTAATTAGTTTTCATGTGAACTATCCTCTTGCTGATAGCTTAGAGGTTTCAGAACTAGAAAAGAAATGGAATTGGACATGGAAATTATTACTTAGCAAAGTGACAGGGAAGTGAGAGCTGGAGAAAAGACTGAGGCTTGGCTGATTTAGGCACAAAGAAATAAAGGGCCTGGGTAGGCCTCCACTGACACCTCCCTCCCCCACACCCAACCCCTACCCCAGAACCCCAGGCCAGAACCTGGGAGACACTGAGCCTCTTGGGCTGGAAGGGGACCAGTAAGGGAAATTGCTGCCAGTAGGAAGACCCCTGTGTAAGCAAAGGTGTGTGCAAAGCCCATGACACCTGGCCACATACCTGGTCCAGAGTGATCAGTTCAGGGCTGAGTGTCTCAAGAAACATCTGTGAGAGGAGTCTCATGTCCCCTTGTGTGTCTGGAGGGAACAGAGAAAGTTGGGACATGTCTGGGGCCCTGGGTGGGCCAGGGAAATAGGAAGAATGGACCACAGATCTGCCCTCTAGGGAGACCCCCCGTTGGATGTACTCTAGGCTGCGGCATGACTTCACATGTGCTGGGTGGGGGTCCCCTGAACACCTGGGCAGGTTTCCTGTGGAATAATTCTGTGCGTTCTAGGGAGGGGTGTGTGGGAGTATTTTTCTGGGGCTGTTTCCAAGAGTTCGTCTACAAGGTGTGTGTGTGTGTGTGTGTGTGTGTGTGTGTGTGTGTGTGTGTGTGTGTCTGAAAGGCGAGTGTGTTTCTGTTCAGGCTGTGTGTCTGGGTCACCTTTTCTTAACACCGCGAATGTCGTGCAGATGTGTGGCATGTGCCTGCATTTGTGTCTGCGTCTGTGTGGGGGTGGCAGGACATCTGTGTCTGTTGGTGTACATGCCTGAGTGTGCATGTGTTCCTGTGTCTCTGTGAATGTCCCTGGGGGAGGTGCACTGTCTGTCCCCCAACCTGGTGCTTCTCTTGTGTGTATGCCTCTGTGTTTGTATTATACCTGTGTGTACAACTGCCTCACACCTTGTGTGCTTGCGTCTCTGCTCACATGTGCCTGTTTTCTCTGTGAGCGTGAGCGCGTGTGCCACTGCCCATGCCCATCTGTGCCCGTGGACGCGCCGGCGTGTGTACCTCCATGGTGTGGGCGCCTCTGCGTGTGCCTGTGTGTGCACTCCGCCTGCAAGGGCCCACAGTTTCTTTGGAACAGACACATTGCCCCCTAGCGCTCAGACGAATTCAAAAGTCCCCGCCTGCTGGGTCAGAGCCCGGAGCAGCCAGAGCCCCAGGGTCTTTCTCCTTCCTCTTGCCCTTCCTTCAGCTTTTCCCTTGAGAGGTTCTGAGTGTGCTGGCACCAGTCAGAGGGGGCCTCCTGGGTGGGGTAAGGAGAGGACACAGCTAGACTGGGTCCCCAGAGCTGAAGAGGGATGCTCAGAGCTGATGAGAAGTGGGGAGCTGCCTGGAAAGGCCCCCCGGTGAGCTCCCCGGAACCCTCCCACTCTGGGGCTGAGAGCCTGGCGTACCTGAACCAGCCCAAAAGGGGACCCCCACTAGTGAACCTCCACTCAACAAAAACACCAAACAACCGACACTCATACCCTTTACCCAGCAGACACACAGACTTCACACTGGCCCATCAGGCTCCCAGCACCAACACAGGCGCACACCCACCCATCGTGGGTGTATCCACACACTGGCTACCCGGCATTGAAGGCTCCCTCTGGGTCAGGCTGGGTGCTTTATATCCAGGATCCCACTTCATCCTCACGACAACCCCATAAGGTAAGGACCCTGAGCCCATTTTGCAGATGGAGGCATAGAGCCTCAGACCATCCCAAAGTCAAAGAGTGGCAGAGCTGAGACTCCAAACCAATCCGCCTGGCACTGACACCTGGCTCTTAACCATTGCCCGGCTCTACCTGAATGTTATAGTTCAGATAAAACACTTAGCACAATGCAGGAAATATAGTAAGTGCCAAGAACGGCTAGCTACCTTTTTATCACTACTACCATTATTGTCAGTATTAATACTAATGTGATTATGATTAGTATTATTCTCTGTGTGTCCCTCTACCACACACACATGAGAAACTAGCACGCGCGCGCGCGCGCGCGCACACACACACACACACACACACACACACACACTTAACAGCCTCAGCCTTCTCCCACCAACCCCCATGTACTCTAGAGCTTGAACTCTCACAAGAAGGATCACAGTAGACCAAGTCTCTTTTGCAGGCGGAGTCCCCTAGGAGGCCTGGAGGGAAACCCATCTCCCCTGATGCCTGGGGTAGGGGGTCCACAGAATGACCCCCTCTCATGAATCAGTGGTGGAAAAACTATGAACTTTGGCATTACATACCCAGATTCGAATCTTGTCTTCACCACTTACGATCTGGTGTGACTTTGGATGAAAGCCAAGGATGACCCTCAGGTGGTCACGTCCACCTCTCCCACCTCACCCTGTGCTGGTGTAAATGGGTCCAAGCCTGGCATCTGTCCAGCCAGTACCCAGGGCTGCAGCCTTTGGGGAAGGACCAGCTCTGGCTGGGACAGAAGATAGTAGCCGGCTGGAGGTTGGAAGGGATGAGGCCCTCATGTAGCCACCTGCTGCTGGTTGCTAAGCAACAGCATCCCCTCCCTCTCTCTATGCATGATGCCTGATGTCTTTGGGGGGTCTTTCCTCCATCTGTCTATTGAATAAATACATATTGAGCGCCTACTGTGTGCCAGGGATTAGGCTGGAACTAAGAAGAAAAAGTGGAAAATCCAATCCCAGCCCTCAATCTGGGAAATCTAATATTCTATCCAAAAATAACTACATTACACACCATAGGGATAAAACAACTGTGCTGGGAAGGAGGAATACGAGGGAAGGGTTCCTAGAGGTGGGTTTTGTAGGTAGAATAGGAGTTTAACAGCCAGAACAGGGTCAAAGAATTTCCTGAGCAGATGAATCAGATTAGATATGGGAAGGTTCCAGCAGCAGTTTATTTAGAGTAGAATGAAGAAGGGCCAGGGTCTGAAGCTCAAAAAGTAAGCAGGACTCAGATCCGAAGGACCACACAGGCAAATGGGAAAGTTTTGAAATGAGGAGCCATGAAAGCGTTTTACACAATGCCAAGTGACATAGTCAGAGGTGAGTTTAAAAAGGTCCTTGGAGACCTGAGGGTCTCCCCTTCATTTGCCTTTCAAGGTGGCCCTAGAAGCCTTCTTCACTGGATTCTCTGGAAACAGGTCTTGGGAGAAGGGGAAAGTCCTGCGTTTGTCCTCAAGCAGCCAGCACACAGCCAAGGAGTGCCCTCTGGCTCTCCCACCCCTGGGCTATCTGCACAAAGGAAGCCCTCCTGCATCAGTGACTACAGATGTTACTCCCTATTGGGCAAGACTTCTCACCTGTCCCTCAGCTGGAGGAGGCGAAGGGGCATTTGTGAGAGCGCTAGATGCCTTATGTTCTAAGCCCAGTCCTGCCATTTCCTGACTACATACCGTGGGCAAGTCCTAGGCTGACGCTCCAATTTCTGGATCTATAATAACACGTGTCTTCAAGGCTACCGGAGAGGCTCCAAATGTAGGAAAGCACCCAGCCCACATTATATAA